AAAGATAAAAACTTTTGGACAAGATAATCTTGTTCTCTCCTCTTTTCCATAGTAATTCAATCTCATAAAAAAAAAAAAATATTAGAAGATAATCTTTTGTCTGACAGTTCACATATAAAGTATAAGAGACAAGAAAAATCATTTTAACACTCTCTCACCTTGTACACACCTCTTAAGTTTCATAACCATTAGATTGAACAATTAAGGTAATCAACGGTCAAGATTACTTAAAATTCCCCGACCAACTTAGGATGTGGGAGTCCAAATCCCTATGTATGTGTGAGAATTGTGGCAAAGGCTCCTCTGTGTGTATGACTATGGTCGCAACTGATCTGACTTCTGCAACTTAGAATTTGCCAAATACTACGAGATAGAAGTTAGCCATAAACAATTTCTGTGTCATTTAAGGTCAAATATAATTTTGGCTACTACTTGTTGAAAATGCGAAAGACCATAAAGATAAAAGAATGAAAGTCTGAATTTTCGTTGCGATGTAAAGATAAATACTCTACCATTAGAGTTACAATGACTTACTTAAGCATCCCTTTCGTTTTGTCATTACATTTTTGACACTAGCTTGCTTGAAACGTTACATACATATTAGCTGGCTTGCAAAGATTAGTGATGACTTCGCATCCACGTTGGTCAGATAGTTTCCTATGCCAAGAAATGTATTATAAGCTTAATTATTTTTTTATTAGTGAAAAAGATGAATTAGAATCACGTAAACAACTTCAAATAAAAGCATTTATTCAAACTTGGCGGATTGCTTTTGCTCAGGGTTACCCAACTACAAAATATTAACCGTGGGTGATTAGATAGGGTTGAAGAACAGAAAGATGCTCAAGTCCATAAGCACTTAAGCAGATCATCAAATAGAAAAAAAGCACTTAAATGCAGTCAAATTCAATAATTAAAAATATCAATTTCTTTGTGGATACTGCGGTTATCTGCATGGCCACCATGCACTGCAATGTGCCACACAGTGATTAGCCAACAGGCTGCCAAATATTTGGACAGCCAAGCGCCAAATTTCCAGATTTCTGATATGATGTGGGATGTGGACATGGAGGCTAGAGCATTCACACATCCCTATCGTGATGTTATGATCTCTTAAACTTCCATTTAATCTGTAGAAAATACAACAAAACTTTGTACTAATTAATAAAATTCAAGCCAGCAAGGCTATCAGCAGAGTGAGCACTCATCATGTAACATAATCAGGAAAATACTTGAATATTGAGGTTGTAGCATAAAATCAACTTCTTATATGCCACTTATAAGGTCTCTTAGTTCATCGAAGTGGTATTCATACAATTGCTTGAAAATTTAATTTCAACAGGTGTGATTTTAGTTATTGAATGTAATACACGAGTCTCTTGAGTTTGAATTCTGTAAGATATATATAGTTCCCAAGTACGTGATTCTTATATGGGAATTAACCTCACATAAACCACTATAGATGGCCATAAATATAAGGTTATTTCTCATTACAAAGAAACCTCATTTTGATTTGTGAGCAAAACATTAATTTTTGTGAACCTAATTAACTAATTACTTTTGCACATCTCAGTCTTGATTTGCAGCTTACAAGTAAATAAGAATAACTTCTTAAAGTCAAGCAGTGTTTCATATGGAATTAATTGGCCTCCTCAATGAATGAGGAGTTTCTCCTCAATTGACCACATAGCCAATTTACGGAATTTTATGCTTATGATCAAGATTGTTCATATTATAAAGTACTTTGTAAAGATTATTTTTGCAAAAAAAAAAATTAATAAATAATAATAATAATAATAATAATAATAATAAAATATGAAATCATTCAGTCACCAAACTATAAAGAACCATCTATCTATTTTTTACAATTAATTGATTAAACTAGTTTTAACTGTATAAAAATAGAAGATCCATATATAGAGACTTATAAAAGGAACGATTTAGATTATAACATGAAGTTCTATAAATCAACGACTAAGTAAATTAGGAGAAACTCCTCAATCTTGAGGAGCCAAGCATGGCTCTTTTCATATTTGCCACCAATTTTTTGTTGTTATTGAATGGCTAGCGACGTGCCCTGAATGCTCGTCTACCCTATATGGCATGCAGTGATATATATTATTTTAACACTTATCTTAATACCCGAAACAACTATCCTCTTGAATTGACCAATGTTTCCATCTTCCCATGTAAAAACAAACCCCAGCATCTTGTTTCATGGGGGTCATACTCTGATAGCGAATGAGTGTGTGTTTGTGTGAATCCCGTTATGAAGCTTTCCTTTTCTTGGAAAAGAAAAATATTGGAAAAAGAAATATTAATTTTCAGCATCTTTGTCTTGTGTCCTCTTCTTTTTCCACCACCTTCAAAACTCACCTTCTTCATTAACCCTAATATTTATAAGCTCTTGAGTCCTCCGCTTTAGCATCAAAACAGCTGGGAGGTGTTTCCTAGGACGGCACAGTTGTAAGAAACTATGGGGAAGAAAGTAATCCAGCAAACTACTTCACTGAAAATATCTAAGAAAGATAATAAAGAGTTTAACAGTTTGATAAAACTCCTGAGGCCTAAAGTCTACATCACTGACAGCTCTAGCTTCAAGAGGCTCGTACAAGACCTCACCGGAAATGGAGCCTCGAATCCAATTACCACTCCCTCCTCCCTCTCGCACCCTTTGGAAAACTGCAGACCGCTGGTCGAGGAGGAGAAGGAAATCCCAGTAGTTGTGGATCTTGAGCCTGAAGGAAGCGTGGATGTGTCTACCGATGTGTCCTTTGATTCTTCGGAACTGTGCAGCCAGGTGTTTATGAATGACCAAGAGTTCAACCAGTTATGTTATCAGATTTATTCGGAAGATCATACTACAACAACTACCAGTAGTTCAGAAGGTTCAGCAGAAGAGCAATTGTTGGTGGATGATATGCTACCTTTTCAAGATCTTGAGCAATGGTTCGATTTAGACACTGTTTATCATGAGCCTAACCATGATCCTTTTTTCAACTATGGTTGTGCTCAACTTGATCAACAAGTCAGCATATATGACTACGAGCTCTCAGGAATGCTATGATCGAATTGTTAAATTTCGTTGTACGAGCATCGCTCTTGTAATATTCTTTGTCTTGATGCTTAATTAAGTAGTTCGCATGTTCATAGCAAAAGAAATGTGTTTCTTTGATGTGTATTCTTTGTGTAGAGAGCCCATTTTACACGTTACCGTTTCTAATTTGTTCAGTCGTGCTACTCCTCCATATTCTCATCCGTGCTTCTCCTTGAGATACGTATGTGTACATTATTACATGCTTGCTAACATTATCCATTCATCGGGGACAGTTGTACGTGTCGTAGAAAGGTGGATTTTTGTTCTACTTTAAGAATGGTGGATTATTTTTTTGAAAAACTCTTCTACTAATTTTTGGATTCTATTATGCACAGTATGAATGCACTTGTATCACCTAGTTTGTTGCTGTTTGAAACTTGAAATCTACTAGAGAGAACAGTGCGCAAAATGTCAGTCAGAATCAACAATGATTGGCTTTAAGATATTGAGTTATGTCCTCCGTCATTAGTATAGTAACTTTGAGCATATGATCTTATGCATAAAAGAAAAGTAACAGTACATAGATTAGGCATAAAAGAAGCGTAACGATACGTAGATTACATATTTATCCAGCAATATATGTGAGTCACAACTCACATAGAGAGAAACACAAAAGCAACCTGCAAATGCATTTGGTGGTATTGCTTTATTACATAGTTACTTCATGAGAGGACGCACGACTCCAACTACCAGTGTCTGTTGTGAATGTTATGGTACGTGCGGCCACTACAAGATGAACTGAAATGTAATCTGTGCTTGTTTTGAGTTTTTTTATTTGAATTTATTTGGAGACGCTTGTTTTTCCCTTTCAAATTCAAATTACTAATGAATTTCTTCACCTCTCGCTTGCATTGGCACTTGAGCACCTAATCGACGACGACCCAAGCCTTTTGATGTTATTATGCGGAAATACAAATACAGAGCTCAGATTTTTAAACTTTTGACGTTCCATTGGAAAAGGTTCAAACTCTGGAGAAATTAGCTGCATAAGTACTTGTTTTGAGATTATTTGGTTAACGATGATTAAATTTGGTAGTGGCTTTTATGTAGGAGCCATTGACAATCTTATCAGATTAGAAGAGATGAAGATTGCAGAGCTAAGATTGCTGAGAAACTAGAGAGAGAAAGAGAGAGCAAGATCGAAGAACAAGAGAGAGAAGGGAAATCTTTCTGTGTATTTTCATTAACCAACTCAATGTAACAGTACAACAATCTAACACCGCTGTGAAAAGTCAGCAGCCTTTGGGCGAGCTGTCTGCTGCTTTTATAAAATTAACTTTTCCTTTCATTTTTGGGCAGAGGTTAACGCAGAGCTGGTTACAGTCCAATAATTCTTTTGGAGGTTTTCAGGTAATTCTATAAGACATTATACGATTTATGATCTGTTATGATAAAACCCGAATTATTTCTGAACTTTGCATTCCTATTTTCCTGTATAGGTAGAGAAACAAAGCCGTGATTCTCAGCCAGCAACGCCTGCTGATGTACATTATACGTTCTGTGGCTGACCATTCCCCCCGAAGTCATCAACATTGTGATCAAATGGGTGTTAATGTGGATTAAGAAAATGGGAAGTGGGCGCTGCTTCCTTCTCCACTTGGTTTTATAAAGCGTTGTAGGGATGTTTGTGACATTCATCGACTTATTTAGCTTTATTTTCAGTAGTAGCAGTCACTGACTAATCCCAACTGACATGGTTTTTCCATTCTTCGACAAGATTCTCTAGAAAGCGCGATTAGACTAGACGGCTACTAATTCTATAGATCTCAAGGCAATGCTACTGATTCGTTAATCAACTGGTTTTTTAGGTGGAGACTTTTCTAAACATTGGTGATAAGTTCGCGAATGAAAAACCAGTTGATTCACGATTGTTTCGAGTTTGTTCACATCACTAGCCGTATAGTGCAATTAATTGCTAGCACGCACTTGTTTTGGCTTGGAGCACAAGCTTTGGACATGCTCATTCTTGTTCTAAATTTCATGAGTTTTTGCAGTCATTTAAACAAGCGTTAATGTCTACAAGATTTGACGCTTTTCAATAACATCCAAGTATTTTCATTCAAGTATTCAGGTTCAGTACCTCCGTTCACTTTCCCACGATGAGTTTTGCTCTCGCATGGCCCTCATTTATTTGGAACTGCTCTCCTATGCCAAAATGAGCCATCAATAACCAAACAAAAGTCACTAGCTCTCTTGCTCAGCAGTTGAGCATTGTCATTCGCTCGGCAATGACTTGCAGTATAAGACATAATTTCCACCCACTTTTTGCTCATCAGCTCCCATTTCTTGTCCTTCAATTTTCTCAACTCTTTGGCCAGAATACAAGCATCGAACAACACAGATTTGCTTCTATCCCCTTTGACAGCAACAGGCTCAACATCTGTATTTACCTCCAGGAGTTTTTCACAAGCTTCTTTCACTTGTCCGGATCCTAGATCCCTTCTGCTGAAGAATTTCTTGGCTTCTGCGCATGCGTCCCGGAATCTTGTTTGTCCAATTCCTGTTATAGAAGACATCATAGAAGGCTGCATAACTAAGAGGTACAACATATACTCAGATATGGTCTTACTGTGTTCTTTACTTTTTTTAGTTTCATCACTAACTTCAGGCCCAGCTTCACCTTCAGCCTTGCTTTTGTCATCGTTGAAACACAACTCTGTAGCAATGTGCCACAATAAAATGCTCTTGTCATATTCCACATCAACAACGTAAGATAGTAACTTAGTGATCACCTTACTATCCTAATCGTTACCCTCGAAGACCCAATCACCTCTGGCCGCACCTATTTTCCTTGCAGTTTCAGGATCATCAGCGAGCATGGATTTACTTATCAACTGCTCAAAAATAAAAATCCATAACTCTTCAACGAGCGGCTTTTTGGTCCTATATGTCAACTTATCATGAAGATCCTTGAGGCCAAATAAGGTGATGACTCTAATGTAACCAATGCCAAAGTAGTCATACCATTTCGAGGACATTTTCCGCTTCTCCTTGAGGGAGTAATGTATCAAGTTGAATGTAGAGACAGATTCGTACGACCTCCGAAATAGGATTCTCCTAATCCACTCCAAACATTTCGTTGCTTTTGTTTTAGGAATGTGGCCACCCTCATTTCTTGTTTTTGCCGTAGGCCACCACCACGATCTCTTGAAATCGAGATACTTTCCGAAAATAGTTTTAGCTAGACGACAATTTTGCCAAAACTTACTCAGAGCAGCAATGGTCCAATCTGAGAATGTAAGCATGATAATAGCTATTGAATCCAAGCTTATGGCATCAAAAAGCAAGGTATAGGCAATTCTAACATCAAACGAGTGGAAACCCTCTTTCTCTAATCTATGGAAGAAAACAAGGGCTACGACAATCACACTGAAAGAAACCACCCGGAGAATGTATGCTGGCTTAGTATGCACCACAGCAGCCTTGGTGACGAAAGCTTCATACATAAAGTTGAGCTCAGCTGCAATTAATTTAAATGCTTCTTTCGGTGTTCTTTCATGGAAGACTGCTCGACTCTCCTGGGTTCATGGAAGCTGAAAATGAGATCCATAATTAGACCCTTGAAGATTTGATAGAAATAACGAGCATGTTACACCCCTGCAATATCACTGTCCAGCTCATCTTTGCCTATCACGTAAGTCACCGTCCTAGATTCCTTGATGCGTTCTGCTGTGAGTTCTATGTGAGTTGGAAGTTGGGAATCTTTTCTCGAGGAGTACTATTCCATAAGCTTCGCATAATTCGATCCTGGATCAGCTTCTTTTATCATGGCTTCCTTGAAAATATCGAAACTTCCACTATACAAGGACCATGTGCGCTCAGCATACTTGATGATTCCAGCAAGAAAAAGGAGGCCGGTTGGGAGCCACAGTTTGTTTTTGGGAAAGCATCGAATGAAGACATACACAGCAGCTGCAACTTGGAATATGAGGCCAAGAAAGTGCCTGAGCCACAGAGTGTTATCTTCAAGCGCAAACACAGTAATGGTGTCTGGACCGCCAAGGTGCAACAAAAGAAAGGGAGCCCAAAACGCCAGAAGATCACCAGGATAGTCGTCACCTGCATGGTCGCCTTGGCTGTTTGAGATTAATCCAATTGCAAAGTTAGCAGCCCAGTCAGCAAGCAAGTAAGATGACCAAACGATGAACATTATCCCCATTCCGCTTTCGCGCGGGTGCAAAAAGAATTAAAAGCGTCTGCAATGTGAGGCTTAAGAGGATGAAGCCCCTGAGGTTCCATTTGTCTCATAGCTTCTTGATGCTGTTAGGAATGGGGTTAACCTGACCGGCCATTTGGCTCCCTTTCCCTTTCCTTTTCTTTCAAACCACAGGAGAAAGAGCAATTTCATAGTTAGATTCTACAAACTTCTGTTACTAAAACATGATAGACAAAATGTCATCGGATTAAACACTTGGGAAGTGATTTCATCAGCACCCGTGTTTAAAATTGTCGCTTGATTCTCCTTCGCTTTATTCGATTCAAGGGCCAAAAATAAACAAGGATGTGCAGTGCGGGAAAAATGGTGTGTTGAAACCATTTCCTTGAACACTTATCGGCAGGTGATTAAATGTTCAATTGCGAAAGCACATACATAACAAAATCCTGTTATCCCTACGGGGTGATTAGTAAGCAGTTGAATCAAAACTGCAAAACATGCACATATATAACCATTTGAGGACAATGAAGAGAAAGCAGGAAATGAAGATGAAAGAAGAAGGTTAGAGGAAAACCTGATGTGTTTCGAGCTGTGCAGGAGGTTGCCTGAAGCTTACTGATTTTCCGTCTCAAGTCTGAACCTTGTCAACAACCACACTGGGAGTCAAGTCAACTGTACAGTCTCATAAAGATGGATGGAAACTGAAGAGTGAGGATCCGAAGATTTCTTCTAATCATATCCGTTCATCTTACATTGTTCAGTTAGTTTTCGTTAAATATTTTTTATAATCAATTTTAAATAAAAAAATTACAATAATTTCTGATCACATAATGTACGATAAACGGATGTGATTAAAGAATTCCCAAATCTTAGTAAAAAGCACCGTATAAGCCCTAGGGAGCCGTGGGCCCATGCCCATAATCAAATAAAGAAGGACCTTAACCTTGATAAAAAAAAATAAAGGGAGGAAAGACCTTAATTATTTTATATTCAGAGCCAAGGAACCAGCTGTTTGCATGTGTTCTTGAGTGCCTATGGACATTATTCATGTTTTTATATGAATATGAAAAGTTATATGGCTTATTTTTAGCTCAGCTCCTGCAACTCTATTTTGATTTTAATTTATCTTTTGTAATTCAAAAGTTATTTTATTTTTTGTAACTCAAAATTCGTTTTACTTTAACTTGTGGATTCTCTCTTCTCTCAAACTTATAGGTTGTCTCTTGAAATATATGTGAGACCAAACACTCAATAAGACTATACTACATAAGTAATAAATTTGATTATAAATTTTTATTATGCGTTAACATTCAAGAATCAGAGAATATTAGGTTTAAAAGAAGTTGAAGAGATGAGCTTTAGAAAGCAAAATGACAAGTTTTGATTTACAGAAACCAAAGATAAATTAAAAAGAAGTTCTAAGTGGCGTAACTAAAATTAAGCCTAAAAGATTTAAACGGTTAAGAATATCCGAGAGTATCCTATCAGATTCCCTTTTTTTTTTGGAAAATTGAATATGATTGTTCTATTTATTTTTACCAAAATATGCAGTTTTCCCTACCTGGGCCGAATATAAAGGATTGTCTTCCAATTTTTCAGATACAGAGATTTAGAATCACCATTCTAAGTGTGTCTCTTTGCTGTATAGCACCAAGCCAATTCTTTGTCACAATTACTTGCCAAGCCTTGTTCCTGAACCAGACGTTCCGGGAGTTTTCTAAGATACATGTTTAAATATTGTTCCTTCGATTGACAGGCTTTGTCGTTTTTCCGGTTGAAATTGAAATGCAGAAACACCTGACCAATTCTTTCACAAATGATATAACTCCAAGTAGTTCACCACAACCACCCATGATGCAGCGAGACAAGAACTCTTGTAAAGGGTATGCTGATTCAGAGGAACTTGATGATGAATACTGGCTCAATAATGGATGGGACTAAAGCATGCAAAAGCGTGGTGGATTATGGTGACAGACGTGGACTAGCCCTGAAGTGACAAGCGGACAATGGGAATCGTAGAATAGTTTAAGTGAGATGTAAAGTAAAGAATCTTATCTAAAATATCTGGTGAAGCAAGCACGTTGAAAACTCCATAATACCATAATATACGCACATACATGAGCAAAATGATATGTTGGGCCGCTTTAGAGCAGTAGAACAAATCAAAATTACTATAAGAAAACATTGTAGCTTACCGACATGAGCAAAGGCAAAGGCCATTATGAACTGATGTTAAACAATGTAAGCAAAGCATAAAAAAACATGACAGTATGATAGACACATATCGAAAACGAGTTATTTGACAAACAAAGAGAACAAGAAGCCTTTGTCATCTAGCTTGCGTTTGTTGTGGAGCTGGAACGCTATGCAAGGATTTCAGTTGCCTGCTAATGAGCTTACTGTTATGCATAGCCAGTTGAAGTTCAAGGTCATCCGACCACCATTGCTCTAACCCGTGTGCCTCCAGAAACTTCTGTTTTCCTTTTGACATCACAAACAGCTTCGCTGCTACTTGCCCATTTGTTGGACGCACATTCTCCTTGTCGGCATTGGCTCCTTCTATTCCATCATGTTCAGTGTAAGAGCAGCAGATATAGTCACTGTTATTTACATATAAATGAGGAACCCATTTTCCCAAGCCTACACCAGGATTCTTCAGACCCGAAAAATTTGGTATCCAATCCTTCAATGCAAAACCAGGAGCTTTATCCCCCTCCTCTTCACTGCTGACCTGAGTTCCACTGCCCGAAGGGAGCATTGACTTAAATCTCTTCCAAGCAAATCCTGCTTTCTCTCCAATATTTCTGAAGCTCATTGCTAGCGACACAGAAGGCGGGTTGAACAGATGAGTCTCCACATACATCCCTTCTTTGGCCAATGCTTTTCCCACTTGGAGAGCAAATCCGGCCCCCAATGAATGTCCTGCAATACACACATTAGTGCTTCCATACCGTTCAGCAACTGATTTCAAAGCCTCCATAGCTGTTTTAAACCTCACAGAACCCTTCAAGCTCTCCCAAGCAAGAAAACGAAGGTCATCTTCAATATCCCTTCTCATAGTTGGGCCTTTGAGCAATGTTCCTCGAAGTGCTAGAACCGCCTTTGGCGCTCCGCTTGGTCTGATAAGTACAAAATCAGCAAGTGCTGCAGATCGATCCCATTCCAGTATTGCCCCAAATATGGATCCATCTCTTTCATCGATTAAGGTTTGGGACAATTTATACTTAAAGGGTATCCACCATTTAGGAGCTAGAGCATGTGCTTCATCTCGATTCTCTTGTCTGTCGAGTTCAAGCAAATATATTGCTTGTATGAAGCACGCGATTACAGTTCGTTTATAATTCCCGTCCTTCCTGTATGAACAGAAAATTTTGATACAAATTACAAATACACACATCGACTGGCTCAGGTGATTTGTCAAACCTACAATTATTTACCAAACTTCTATCTGAGATCCAATAATGCATTTCCCTAATTGATCAGCAATTTAATAAGGGCGATTTAGTCCTGAACTATCACCTCAATAAAAATTAGGTCTCTAAATTATTTTTAGGTAAAATAAGTCCGTAAATTCATTAAAAATTGTTAACTTCATCTCTATTAGACTTGCAAAAATTCTGCTATCTTCTCTGCTCCAGACGTAGTTTCCTTTTACGTTCCACAAAAACAAATAAAATTCAAAATTAATCATTAGATATCCAAAATTTGATGGGCAAGTTTCTAAATTTCCACATTTATTAGAAAAAAAAAAAAAAAAAACCATTCTGCTAAAAAACAATCACCAATCCAACATATTTCAAAATTGTAAAGTTCCAGAAATCTTATAGAACTCATAAAAATATGAAATGGGTACTTACCAGCTCGAGTTTATGAGGTCTCTCCAATTCGGAGAGATCAAATTGCGAGGTCCGGATACATGAAAAGCGTATGGATGAGGAGCCTCTGCTGCCACAACTTCCTTAGCTATCTCCTCGCGGCCGCCGTGCTCTGTCATTAATGCACTGGCACCAGAAACAGCACCGCCTCGTTCTTCTTCTTCCTTCTCTCTTTGTTCTGGGTTTGTTTGCATGATGAGGAGAGAGAGAGACAGAGAGAGAGAAATAGAGAGGGATGGAGCGGGGGTTATGGAAAAGGAAGGGTGAAGTCTTTTAATTGGTATCTGATTCGAAGGACATGTCGGCTTCCCCTTTAAATTAATTTATTTTAATGATTCGAAACGCCTGGTTTCTAGGTCTCCAACGGTCATATTACTGGCTAACTCAGTGGGTTCAATTCTAAATTACCATATCATCCCTCTATAATTACAATAAAATGTCATAACAATTCCCTTAAAAAATCCCCAATTTTTTTGCATATGAATTCTCGTATCGAGAAAATTATAAAACAATTGCATCTATGCATTGTGCTACAAGTTCGACCCCCATCTATACTCCTCATTCCTAAAAACTAACTATCTAATGCACACATGTCATTGTTTTACTTAAAAAGCATAGAAAGCATTTTTTTAGAGGGCAATAAATCTGAAGGTTATTTTGGTAAGTGGAGTCCTTCCTGGGGTTTTAGCATCAAATTGCAAGCTGGATTATGTTATGTTGGTGGGGGTTAAAGAAAGTCAAACGTTATACATTTGCATAATGTGAGTTTAGGATATCCTTAGGATCCTTCCTCAACGGTGATATTTTGTTAGATTATATGGATCGTGTGGGGTCACTTAGTAGATTTCTTAATCTAGAAGTTAAAACATTTAGGAGCTAACAATGTAAATTGAAAAAAAAAAAAACAACTAAATAAAATCAATGACGCATGACTATTTGATCTAGCAACATTAGCCTTCAGCACCCGTACAAATATACAGGGCCGTTCTGAGATTTCGTGGATTCTGTGTGAAATTTATAAAAGGGTCTCTCCTTAAAATAGTTTTTTTTTTAAAAAATGGCAGGACAACGTATTTGATGCTATAAAGTAATAATTTAAATCAAAACAAATTTTAGGTCTTGCGGATTGTAAGTTTACATATGTAGTTAAATAATAAGTAAAAAAGGTTACAAACATAACCCTCACTAAATAATCAAAAGCAGTTGAATCTTAAACAACCAAACAAGAAAAAAAAAATGCAACAACTCTAACTTTAAAGTTTTACTTGAATATAGTAGCATTATTATATAATAAAATTAAAAAGAAAATCGTTTTCATTGTTCTTATTGGCACTCCGAATTTTTGTATTTATATTTAGAAAAAAAAAATGTACACCTTATAAGGAGTGTACAATACAATTTTTTGAAGATATAGCATTTACGTATAAATATTAGATGGTAAAAATTTTAGGGAAGTGTTATTAGTACTCAAAAAATCTCATTCTACACTCTTCGCAAGTATATTTTTCTTTAAAAATATAGAAAATTTAGAATGTAAAATTAAATTTTTAGAATGCCAATAATAATTCTTAAATTTTAAAGGATTTTTCAAATTTGAGACGTGCGTTTGCATTTTTTGCTTTTCCAAAACCGCCTCGGCAATTACAAGAAACGAGTGGTCTGATATGATTTCTATCGAAAAAAAAAAATGAAGATTGAACTAAAACGCTTCAAATTAATCAAATGATTTAAGCACATGATGTTTTTCTTATTTCTTGTCGCAGTTTATTCTTGTGTTCGCACACTTCTGTACCAACCAAAACGATATATCTCTTTCAAAACTTCTCTGCTTTTTCCTCAGAAATTCTTTCTATTATTATCAATTTTACAGTACAAAATCTCATTTTATTATGACATTCGGGAAAATATTTGTTAATTTTGTATAAGGAAGAGTAACTGAACCAATCCTAACCAAATTATCACTAAATAATAATGAGTTTGATTCAAGTAGAGCATCTTACACGAGTCAAAAAGTTCACATCAGTAATAACAATAAAAAAAGATAGTGTCAATGCTTTACGATTAAAATGTCAATTTTTATGTGACAAAACACGGATTGACATAAAAAATTGCTGTTGTCAAATTTGACAGCAACTTCATATCTATTTTTAATGATTAATAAATACTTTTTACCATTATTATTATTATTATTTGTCCTACAAATACTTTTTAAAAATAAATAATGCAATAAATAATCTATATATAAAGCCAACACAAAAGGTGAATAGTGTTTTTAATGTCACCAAGCTTCAACAAAAATTTAGACAAAAATGCCCCCATAACAAAAAACTTCAAAAGTAGCCCAAAATAACGCATAAATAATGCAAGGCATTTTCGTTATTTTAACAGTGTTTTTTTAATAATTAATTTCTTTTGTACAACTTTTTTTTATTTTTTATTTTTTAAATTAGTATCTTACAAGAAGCTAGCAATAATATGATTTAATCAATTATTTATTTAAAAAAACATGTTCAAAACATCTTAAGAGGCGTATAATGTTACATCTCATATCGCACAGGGGAGTAAATCTTGTAAGCCTTATATGTATATTCTCATCTCTACTTAGCACGGGGCTTTTTGGGAACTCACTGGCTTTGAGTTTCGTTGGAACTTCGAAGTTAAGCGAGTGACACACGAGAGCAATCCCATGATAGGTGATCCACTGGAAAGTTCTCATCTGAGTTCTCAGAAACAAAAACGGGAGGGTATGGTCGGGGCCCAAAGCGGACAATATCGTGCTACGGTGGAGTCGAACCCGGAATGTAGTAGGGGCCCGGGTCGGGATGTGACATGTAATTCCGGTTATAAAAAAGGTTTTTGGAATGCGAATAATAATGTGATTAAATTAGTTATCAAATGATTGTTTTTTTAACGAATGATATTATCTACACTACAGGGGAGGGGAGGTGGGCTTAACTTCACAATGGGTTAGCAATAATGTGATTCAATTAGTTGTTTATTAAATATTATTTTCTTTATTTTTAAACACGTTCAAAATATCTTAAGAGGCATGTCATGCAGTTATAAAAAAGGTATTTCACATGCGGATAATAATGTGATTAAATTAGTTGTCAAATGATTAGGTTTTTTTTAATAAACGATATTATTTACACTAAAGGGGAGGGAGGTGAGCTTAGCCTCATAATGAGCTAGCAATAATGTGATTCGATCAATTGTTTATTAAATATTATTTTCTCTATTCTTAATGTAAATTGTATAGAGATCAATTTTATTATGTGAATTCAGCTGCTTTAATTGGTTTATGAGAGGTTTCTTCTAGCATGATCTAAGATTATTCATTTACTTCAAATGTTTAACTTTTCTTTTGTCAATTTACGCATATAAATACATTTAAAACGTGTAAGTCACACATAGACAGTGGTACTAAGAATGTTTTTTTAATAATTAATTTTTTTGTACTGTTTTTTTTTTTAATTAGTACTTCACAATAGGCAAGCAATAATGTGATTCAATCAATTATTCATTCAATATTATTTTCTCTATTTTTAAACACGTTCAAAACATCTTAAGAGGCTTGTAATGTCGCCGGTTATACAAAAAATCTTTTGCACGCAGATTGTCACATTCCGGGCTCGACTCCACCATAGCATGATATTGTCCGCTTTGGGCCCCGACCACGCCCTTACAGTTTTGTTTCTAGGAACTCACACGAGAACTTCTCAGTGGGTTACCCATCTTGGGATTGCTCTCGCACGAACTAGCTTAACTTCGGAGTTCCTATGGAATCCGAAGTCAGTGAGCTCCTAAAATGCCTCGTGCTAGGTAGAGATGAAAATATACATATAAGGCTTATAGGATCCACTCCCCTGGACGATGTGGGATGTACCCAAAGCCATGAGCTCCCAAAAGACCTCGTACTAGGTAGAAATGAGAATATACATATAAGGCTTACAAGATCCACTCCCCTGGGCGATGTGGGATGTAACAATCTACCTCCCTTAAGGGCCCGACGTTTTCGTCGCCACACATCAGGCCAGGGATTGGCTCTGATACCAAATTGTCACATCTCGGCCCGGGCCCCCACCTACATCCCGGGCTCGACTCCACCGTAGCACGATATTGTCTGCTTTAGGCCCTGACCACACCCTCACAGTTTTGTTTCTAGGAACTCACACGAGAACTTCCCAGTGGGTCACCTATCTTGGGATTGCTCTCGCACAAACTTGCTTAACTTCGGAGTTCCTACGGAACCCAAAGCCATTGAGCTCCCAAAATGCCTTGTCCTAGGTAGAGATGGGAATATACATATACGTCTTACAGGATCCACTCATCTGGACGATGTGAGATGTAACATGGATAATAATGTGATTAAATTAGTTGTCAAATGATTATTTTTTTTTAATAAACAATATTATCTACCATCTCCAATCCTTGGGCTAAAACCTAAAATTTTTAGCCCAGACACAATTTTTTTGCTCCAACCCTTCTGACCTAAAATTTTAGCCCTAGATTATTAAAGAATGAATTTAGGCTAATTTTTTTTCTTAAATTAACTTCTATAACATATATATATATATATATATATATATATATATATATATATACTATCGTAAATTAATTTTATGAACATGTTTACCTAAAAATATTTAAATTCTGATAAATATTGAAAAATCACTAAATTGATACATGAAACTCATGAAACACTATGGAAGAATATGAAAATCATAACAGAGATGTATAAACACAAAATACATGAAACACACAAGACACAAAGAACACATGTGAAGGACATACAAAACACATGTGAAGCACATACACATGTGAAAGACATACAAAACACATGATAGAGATGAAGTACATATAGAACACATGTGAAACACATAAACACACACGAAACATATACCCAATACATACAAAACACATGAAATGCATGAAACACAAACCTACACACATGAAATTGAAACATGGATTTGGGCTGGCCAATTCAAGGGTCGTCATAACAAGCCAACCATTGTGCTCAAGGATGTGGCATCTTACGGCATATGGATTTGGCATGCATTCTTCGATGCTCCTAGATCAAACAACGATATCAACGTTCTTTGGTATTCTCCTTTGTTCGATGATGTTGTCAATAGATGGGCACCAGAATGGAGGTACAAGGTAAATGGTAATAGGTATGAGCTAGGTTACTACCTAGCTAATGGTATTTATCTTAGTTGGTTTACCTTTGTCAAAAGTTATTCTCATCCCGATAGTGCGAAGAAGAAATTATTTTCGCAGAGGCAAGAGTCTTACAGGAAGGATGTGGAGAGAGTGTTCGGGATCTTACAAGCTCAATGGGCCATTGTTAGAAGGGCTGCATGATTATGGCATACCTAAGACCTTCATTCAATCATGATGACATGCATAATTTTGCACAACATGATTGTGGAAGACAAGTACATCGAAATTGAAGAAGATTTAGATGAAGATGTGGATGATGACCAACCAACACATGCAAGAGTTATAGCAAGAGATGTTGAATATCTCGCTGCAACCACATATGAGACTCGACAGGATAGAGTCACATTGAGTTAGTATATGAGATGTTTAAATAGAATTCAAGCTCCTCAAGGTCATGACACACTCCGTAAGGATTTGGTTGAGCGTATATGGCGCCGAGAAGGTGAATGTTGATGATGTTGGTGTATTAATGTGTTCTTGTGTTAAATTTAAGTGTGTTGTGTTGTTATTTTATGTAATAATTTTAAGTGTACTATGTTGGTATTTTCTAGTAATAAATCGAAGTGTCTTCTTGTGCAAAGTCTTTTGTCTAGTACGTTGTCAAAATTATTGAATGCCGTTTCAATTATTAAAGGCATCTATTGTACATCAAAGTGTGCAATAATAAGTACAATAGTTATTGAAGGCATCTAGATTAATAGAAAACAATAATTAATAAGCCATAAATTTAATACACACGACAATTAATAAACTATATAAACTTAATACAAATGACAATTCATAAACCACAAAAACTTAATACAATCGATAATTCATAAACTACCTAAACTTAATAATGATATCCACCATCTTGACTTGGTGGTGGACTTGGGATATAACCTTGAGATGAATCATCATCTTGAAATATACTCCTTGTGGCATACTTTCGTAAAATTTCCTTTTGCTTACCACATAAGAACTTCTTCCTCTTTGCAGTGTATTTGTTGAGGTCCTCCATCATATGAAATTAATTTCGAACCTCTCTTGCTCCCTATCCCCTTCTTCCTTCATGGCCAAACGCATTTGAGCCGCTTCTTCTTGTCGAGAGCTATGGCTTTCACTCAATCTTGCAAATCTGGTAGCAATGTGTGCACTCATCGAATCTTGGGACTTCCTTTTTCTCCTTACTTCCTTTTGCTTATCTCTTTCCTGGGGGCTTTGCAAAAGAAGAAGTTGGGGTCAATTCATGGACACTTTCATTGACACTTTCATTGATACCTTCATCTCCATCATTTGTTGGTGTGGCTTCACATTGAAATAATCTTCCTCATTGTTGGTCCGCATCGGTACCCCACCTTGGACAATCCTTGAGGACCTCTCAAACATGATGCAACTCAAAATGTTGATTTTTTGGTGTTACTCTTGTCTTGTAAATTGCCATTGCTTTGTCACCCTATACAAAAAATACATAAAAGCAATTAGTTTCAAAATAATATTATGTACATGACAAATAAAATATCAACAAAAAAACTCACAATTTTTGTGGCACTCCTTCCACTAGCCATGCCAGCCACGGCTTTCTCCAAGCTTTCCTTCCATAAAGTGCATGCTTTGTTGATAACCTTCCACCGATTGTAAACACCACCACCTTTTTTCCCACCGCCGTTGCAGTTTTCATGGAACTAATCAACGATTTTATCTCACAAAACATTTTTATTTTGATTTGTGCCAACTGCACCATCTTCGCTAATAGAAACTCATGCCAAGCATAAAGCAACATCTTCCAATTACGACCTCTAATATGCTCTCTTGCCATCTTGAAAATTTTGGAAATATGAAGAAATGGTAGAAAGAAAAATTAGAAGAATTGTAGGAGAAAAGTGAGTTTTGTGTGGATGTTAGAACAAATACGTAGGTATTTATAGAGTTTTTTGATGAATTTTGAGTTAAATAATTTTTTTTAATTATTTTAGCCGTTGGATTTAAATTTCAACCGTTAGATCTTTTTTTTTTACCGTTATATTTAATTATATTCGATCTCAGCCGTTGGATTCAATGTATTTTAAAATTAGCTTTTTTATATAAAATAAAATTTGAATCTGGACAGTTAGATTAACCAACAGTCCAAATATAGCAGCTGTTGGGCTCCTAATGGTGGCCGATAGTGGCCCTCACAGTGGGTCCCACCATGTCGGGCACTGAAGGCTTAGGCTCACGTGGGGAAAGTGGGCTCGTCCACGGGCCGAGACTAGGCTGGGTTTGGGCGAGTCCACACATGTCTGGGCTAAATCTTGGGTGGTATTTAGCTCTCTTCGGAGTTTTAACTTTTAGCCCACACTTTTAGCTTGGGTTGGGTTTTTTTTTTGGGGGAGGGGGTGCTAAAATTGAGCTTTTAGCACATGATTGGGTTTGGTCTTAGCCCTCTTTTGAGTTTTAGCTTTTAGCCCACACTTTTAGCTTGGGTTGGATAGAGTTTGGGGGGAGGGGGAGAGGGGAAGCTAAAATTTAGCTTTTAGCCCAGGGTTAGGTTTAGTTAGACCATCTCCAACCCTTGAGCTAAAACCTAAAATTTTTAGCCCATAAAATTTAGATTTTAGCCCAGAAACAGCTTTTCTAGTCCAACTCTTTTGGCCTAAATTTTTTAGCTTGAGATTATTAAAGAATAAATTTAGACTAATTTTTTCTTTTAAAGTAATTTAAAAAAAAAATTATGTACACTATCATAATTTAATTTTGTGTACATTTTAACCTAAAAATATTTAAATTCCGATAAATATTAAAAAATCACTAAATTTGGGTGAATTTTGAGTTAACTAATTATTTTTAATTATTTTAGCCGTTGGTATCAATAAGTCTTGGGAGACATGACCATGTGGGTGGAGTTCCGTTGGTGGTGCCCACACTATTTTTTGGGCTAAATCTTGGGGGGAATTTGGCATTTATTTGACTTTTAGCTTTTAGATAAGTGAATGAAGAAGGCTCATGCCAGCCCCTCTCTTGCATTTGGGGTTTCCAGAGGCAAGCAAAAGACTACAAAAACTGGATCGATTCACTTCCACAAGTAGCAGCACCCCTCATCAAATTGTCCGCATGTGCTCTCCAAATTGCGTATTCGTGGTATTCTCTTCCCAACAACTTATTCTATTCCAAATTCCTAGGATATGGAGCTTTGGGTGGTGCATTAATAGCTTCATGATTGAAGGAATAAGCTTTTCCACTTCATAAAACTAAAAGAAGGGCTTTCGGAAAAGAAGGTGTAGGCGGAATAAGCTGTGAGACTGGAGCTAGTGGCATAGATTGACTATTCATCTTTCTCGCACAGCCGGGAGTGAGTGCACCACAAGACCAGACAAGTTACTCCCTCGCCTCGCAGCGGCGACATCTGTCTTTTAAGTTAAGTCATTTCCTAAGATGGCTCCTCTTATTCTACGATAATCCAAGCAGCAGCTCCACGAGTCCGCTCGGAACTAGTCGATTCCTGAGCCTCTCCCCTCTCGGTTGGCGTTTGCCAGCCACTAGAGCAAGTAAGAGAACCTACAGTGAATGCACTTAAAGAACCGCAGATTTTGACCGGATTGTACACCTTTGTGTCTGGCTATGTATATGAATGTGCATAAAGAAGGGACGGGACATCTCTCTTCTAGGGTTGATCGACCAGTTTTTTACCCATGCATTTAGTATGGATTGGGTTGGGTTTAGGGGAGAATGAAACCTAAAAGATAGCATTTAGCCCAGAGTTGGGTTTGGTCTTAGACCATCTCTAACCCTTGGCCTAAAACCTAAAATATTTAGCCCAGAAAATTTAGGTTTTAACCTAGAAATCATTATAATTTTTTTTTTTATTTAAAATTGAATATAAACAGTACCTGACGAAAACTGATCACACAATGTATGATGAAAAGATATGATTGGAGGATATCCGGAATCCTCACAAAGAGAATCCCGCAAGGATCCTCCTTCATTTTTTCTCACAAATATTTGTGTAATTTTCCATGGTCAAAAAACATGTCCAAGTGGATTACGACATATGTGTCAATATGTGGAGGAGCAATTTCCCGCATTTATTTTCGTCCATATAAATAATAAAATGAGGTGTGGGTGTAATGCGACAGGAGGCAATCCTCGAAGGCTCCATGGCCAATGAAGAACCTTGTAAACTCACACAAACAAATCTCATAAAATTATGGCCCTGAATTTAACTGCTGCTGCTTCATTTTCGTCGTCTTTTAGTCCTCCTCCTCCTCCATTTCTAAAGCCAAAGCACAAACATCATCTCAAGTTGTATCCTTTTAGAACACATGCAGCTCAGTCGTCAGACGGAACTGAGAGTTGGATTAAAGAGGAAGACCCTCCTGCTTCTTTCTCCGGTAAGCTTTTCGTTAGCGTATCGTCGATTTGGTTCTTCTTCTGTAATCTGGGTTCGTTAACGCATGCCTCTTCATTATTTTCATTAATTTGAAATTCTAACCTTTTTCTTTGAAAATATTGAATAAGAAGTTTGGATTTTTGGGGATATTATGGATACCTGTCATCGTTTCTGGTACAAAGGAAATTTCAGCTTTAGAAAAAGCACTTCTTTTTTGTTACAAATAAAAGCACTTATGTCTACAGTACTAAAGAAGCCAGTATTTTGTCATCTTTAAACACTTAGCATTACTATTTGATTTAGTTAAGCTTATGAGTGTAGCAAATCCTGCCTACATCCAGAGAGATATTGTTCTTCACAATAAGAATAACAATACAAGTTATATATGAGTTAAATCGACATAACACATTCTCAATCCCTTGTACACCCACTCACAGAATTTTCCTAATAGCCTCACTCTACCCCAGAGTTCTTTCACCAGAGACTTTTCACTCTAGTCTCTTGATTTTCTCTCAACCCATGTTCAACCTTTGCCATGGGAGAGCCGAATGCTCTCCCCCTTGGATGTTTCTGCTTACCCTCCCACTTTTCAAAGCATACTAAATACACAAATATTGCATCTAGTTATAGGCATACACTAGCAACTATGCCAACAACCAAGACCAAAAAGTCTTTAAGTTCACATCACATAATCATGACATAATCAACACCTAGCATACGTAACATACAACCCTTTTCTCCATTTGCCATTTAATGCATAGAAGAGAAGCATGCACAATTGCATGCTAGCAAACACAGTCACAAATGGATGCTGCCATTTCCTTGGTAGCATTAAATAAATGCCACACTTCATCCACCACCGAAAGCACACGGGTCACTTCATTGTTGTCAGCCCAAAATATGAGCCAATCACAACAGATTCAACATTACTACTTTAGCAATAAGAGAGGAAAAGCAAAGAATTTAGCATGCCACTAACATTCTATTTACGGCTTCTCATGTCACTGTATTTTTTAACAGAAACTGATTTCCGCACTTCCCTTTTGACCTTTTGCACTCCGCTGTTTAATTTTGTCATTCGATTCTCCTTTGTTTAGTAAATTGATAATAATGGAGAGAATTCCATACGCGGGGAATGCAAGAGGTCAAAAGAACTAGATGTGTCTTGCTCTTCAACTTCTGGTTGCCACTTGCCAGGACCTTTTATTCTGCACTTGATTTTATTTTGGCATTGGTGACCTGAAAACTAGTGATGCTAGAAGCTCGGCATAAATTCAGAGTGTATTAACTGCACTTAATAAACCAAAAATGCTTGAAACACTTCCGATATGCGCTTTTTTTTTTTCTTCTATAGGATCATCATCATCTGCTCGCACGCAGCTGGATCTTTTGGAGCAACTTACCTCTACTAGCTCATCAGTTGACGGTGGTATGCAAAATTCTGTCCATATACTGAATCAGACACATCAAGACACTATATGTTGATCAGAAATTTTGAAGGATAAGAATGCTTAGAGATACATATTTGATTGCCAGGTTATGTCAGCGATGGTAACTCTCGGAAACTTACAATCCGTCAGCAGCTAGCACAGTTGGTTGAGGACAGAGACGGCGATTTCATCATTCCACTTGGTAAAAAATTTAAAATGGCGAGTGCCAAGGTTTTAACCATCTCTCAGAAGCGAAATATCAAACGACAGGCTTACTTAAATGAAGTATCGAAGAGGAATGATTCAGTTTTCTTTGCCACCATTGGAGCATTTGTACTTGTTCCACCTCTTGTAATATTAGGAATTGCCATATCAACAGGTTATGTACAGCTTTTCCCATGACATATATACTACTGAATATAGAGAAATTCAGTTTACTAATTAAATTTGGAGATCCAGTGCTTCATTTTTTGTCTTTTACATGGAAATTTTGTAAAGATCATATATAAACTGCTTCGATCTGCAAATCGCATGCTTTTCACTTGAAGTTAAGAATGGTATCTAGACCATAAAATCAAAACCATTTTGTTTTGACGATCCAAAAGCTCTTTGAGGCAGACTTTATTCAAAAGCAATTATGATACGAGCGGTATAAGGGGGGACTCAAACCCAATTGTGGATAACATCTTCACTCTCCTTTTGCAAACCCATTGAGCTCTCAACTCTCCATTCTTCTCTTGCACAAGTCGTACATGACATACAAAAGAAAAGTTAGTTACATAGCTGTCCAATTTGGTTTTGAAACATCTCATGCATCAAGTGATGGATAAGTAGAAGAAAGATAGTGAAAACATATTCAATTGAGAATGAATGATCAATAAACCATATGGAGAGAGTATGTATACTAGAATGACAGAGGTAGGAGGACTTAACCTATATTGCAAGGGTACAACAACTTCTTAAAATTGCATTCCTTTACTCACTTTGTAAAAATGTAGTCATAGAAGCCCCAAATCTTAGGCAGAGTCCTAGTTACAAACTTCAGTTATTGGTGTGTATTACAAGCAATGTATTAAAAGCGTGAGGTGTGGGCAAGGCATCCGAGGGATAGCCCAGCTTAGGTGTGAGGCGTGAGGCAAAGCCTCACGGGACCTAAATTTTTTAATATATACATTGAGCGTACACATATATTATATTAAAAAAAATTATTAATCAATAATTCCTGAGCACACACATATATTATAAATACATATACACACATATATATATACATATATTATATTATATATATATATATATATAATAGAGGATGAAAAACACAATGAGCACATATATAACAATGCACGCAGACGGCACACACATCCTTTATATAAAAAATAAAAATCAGAAAACAAGGCAGAGAGATGATAATGCAAGGAAGAGGTATGAGGTAGTTAAAACCCTATCCAAAATTTGGGTTTGGGAGTAAAAAAAAATAAAAAAATTTCCCCTGAGGCGCACTTAGGTGGCTCTGGCGGCGCCTTCCGCCCACTCCCTCAAAACAAAGACGGTAACCCTCAAGCCCAACCTCATAGGACCCCTAAGCGCGCGTTTTAAAACACTGATTACAAGATAATTTCAAAATATACCAGCAAAAACAGAGAAATTCCATGTTAGTTAAAAACTAGCCAGCCATTGGGTCATTTGCCTTCTCAGCTAGAATCAGTCACCGACTGCTTTTGCTTGTCAATTGGCAAAAGCTCTTGATCTGCAGTGGGCCGTATTGGTTCATTGCCCAGAAGCACTCCTTGCTTTTGGATGTACAACCATTTGTCTTGGAAGAGGTAGAAGAAGGTGATGGCACTGACTTGAGCAGTGAAAATTATGGTCCAAAGCTTTATGCCTTTTGAGGTCTTCTCATGGTAGGCTTGTAGTCCTGTGTATATGTTGAGAACCCCAAGCAGAGACACTGCAGTTCCAAGTATCCAATGTACAGAAAACCATATGCTTCTTCCCTTGGATCCCCTGTTTAGACGATAAAAAGATTCAATTCGTAATCGAAATCATTTCGCCTTTTGTTTTCTCCCACACATTTATTGAACACTTCTACAGTTTTTTTATAAGTGACATTCTAAACTACTTTAAACTACAAAATGGAGAGCAAACTCTGACTCAAAAGAGTGGACAAACCATTCTCGCCAACTAACCTAGCCTGCGCATGCATAGTTTTGCTCTATCGACAACCACAATTCATAGCACCCGAAAGAAAAATTTACTAGTTTTATTATGTTTTGTTAAGGACATTTGGACTTGGTAGTTTACCTCTGTGGCCTTACAAACCCAATTAGGGCTTGCAACCATATTAGGCCATATAAGCCTATCCCAACCCTTTGGTGTTTATTGTTGAAGGAGTTGTTGAAGTTTCTGAAGGACATCACTGCTCCTGCTGTTGCAAGAAGGACAGAGAGCATCTGTTGAACAAAAACTAATTAAGCAAGAACTAATCAAAGTCATTTGGTAATTAATTGTATCAAAAGCCACTACATATGATTGGGGAATGCAGCACCTAACACTAATTATGTTCTACACACGTGTTAATTAAGTTAATTTAAAAAAAAAAGTCCGAATCTTTGAGTTTTTAGTGACCCAGAAAATTATAATCACACTCCTCTCTTGCTCTCTAAGCATTAATCATAATCTCCTTTAAAGAAAACATATTTTTATTTTTATTTCCTCTAACCATCTTTGTAAGTCAAAGAAGTGGAGCATCTGACCCTAATAAATTAAGCTAGTAGCATAAATAATGTAGTCTTTTTATTTGTTTATTAATATTATAAAGATAGAAGAGTTTGAACCTGCGAAACACTTGATTAAAGAGAAAGACTCTACTTGTTACGACAATTCACCGCTTGCAATATTAATCGTTATTAAGTGAAAGAATTCTAAAACTATTGAATAGTCTAAATCAATGTCAATCTAGATTATTGGAGAGGAGGATGATAATATAACAGTAATTAATAGATGAACTTACCTCTGATAAGCCATGAACATAGAAAAGAATTCTGAGCCTTCTTCCACATTCCTCTCCGTGTGACATTCTGATGGCAAGTATTCCAACAGGCATCAAGAACCCCATTGAAGCCCAAAGAAGAAACCCGTGGAGTCTGATTTCCGATGACAGTTTGTGACTCATCTGCTGTAAAAATCATGCCCCAAAATCTGAGCTATGAGCATTTCAATTCCTTCACAAAAAAATGGTGGCATGAAATGGAGTATTACCTTATGAATGTTGTCATTGTCACTGCCTGCACCTTTCATGTGTTCTTGGGACGAGCTTACGAGTGGCGAAACAAGGAAAAGAAGAAAACTTAAGTGAATGCAGAAGAAACCCAATTTCTGCCGAAACCCCATCTTGCTTTCTCTACGAAAAATTAAGAAAACAAACCCTAAACTTAAAGGTATTTGGAAAAGCTATGTATTGCGGTGAAGCTTTGGATGTCAGTTGCAGGCAATATGGTCTAGTGCTTCACAGCACTTGATTGCCTCTTTCTCTCCCTCATACCCCACTTCAAAAAAAAAAAAAAAAAAAAAACAGACATGTCAAAATGCAAGAGAACAAATTGATCTAGGAAGATGCATAAAAAGTTCGTGAGTTTATTCTTTCATCTGTTTTATTCCGCTTAAAAGAATGCAAAGTGGGATTCTTTGATGTAATAGAAATACGGATGGGAATTGCATGGATGTTGATGGTCTAAGTGAAAAAGGGTAAGAAAAGAAAGTGCAAGGTAAGAGAAATAGATGTTTCAAACTTCTGGGGTTCCATTGGTTGATATTGGAAGAGAAAGTGGAATTTCATCAGAGCAAAAAGAACGTCAGGTTTTCAACGCCCAAAGAAAAATATTGCATTGTGTGGGTTCGCTAGTGTACTTTATCTTCTGCTCTCCACTAACCAGTGGTGTGCTTGTACATAACTCACGGGTCTAACATATTGCACCAACTCATCGGAAAAAACACAAAACTATTCACACTTACAATCAAGTATTCTTCCTGCACTCGAAGCTTCGAGTTCAAATCCTCCATCCTTCAACACTGTTATAAACACAAAAATTCTATATATATCGAATGAAACGAGAACACATGTACAAAGTAGATTTGTATTGATTTGAATTTGTAAGGTTACAATCACTGTTTACAATTTTTCTCTGATTCAGTCTTCACATTTGATGTAGATGGTTAATTGTTGGTCCAAGGGTCATGATGACTTGATCTCGGACGAACAATTGAACGATTGCTTCAAGTTTTGAGCTTGAAACAATGCGTGGATAGTCTTCACCTCAAAGCTACAGCCAAGGTCGTGTTGATATAGGATTTCGTTGATTCAAGGGTCTTGGCGACTTGATCTTGAATCGAACATTGTTACAAGTTTTAAACTTGCAATAAAGTCTTGAAAGAATCGGCACAAGTGCTTGTTGATTCTTCAAGGGAGTGCTTCGGCTTTGGTCGAAAGAAAGCTTTGGCTTTGGTCGAAAAATATCTTCAGCTTTGGTTGTAAATTCTTCGAAGAGAGCTTTGACAACGTATTAGTCTTCAAAGATTTGGCAGATTTGTGAGAATTTCGGCTCTTCAATGTAGAAATTGTCGACCTTATGCTTGGCTTGGGACCTTGCTTCTCAAAGCTTGCCTTTGGATGAATTTGGCTTTGATTTGTGTCTTGACTCGTCCATGGGAGAATTTAGGCATGTTTTGTGTCTTAATTTCAGCCACTTTCCCTTGCTTGGCCGAATTATAGGGCTTTCTTGCCTATTTTGTGAGCAATCTTCAATTCTTCCTTGTTTTGTGAAGATGCTTTAGATTTCTTTCCAATTTTGGGGAGCAATTTGGAACCCTTGCCGTTTTTAAGGAAGCTTCCCTCCCCTTTGCCGAATTTTAGGAATGCTTTTGAGCTTCCTTTGCTTGATTTGTGCCACATGTCATTGATGACTTGTCTATTTGTGATGAGTCATATGCCACGTGAAGCTTTATGATGTATCATTTGCATGCAACGAAATTTACACGTCTACAACTGTTTTGTATTACCTAATATAAACAATCAGTAAACTTGCTCCTTTTATAGTTTAATTAGCACTAAAGTATCATCATTTACAATGTAGAAATATTAAGGAAGAGAAAAAAGTTTTTGGACAAGTTACAATTTTTTTTCTTTCATTAGTGCGCTTAAGTGTGGATTTTGATAACGATTATCAAATATCTTACTGCGGACTCTGACAAGGATATGTTAAGCATGGTCTACTACTAAACACAATGATATTATTCCACCATAATCATATGTACAACTCAACAAGGATTGAGTTCTATCTTAAAATACATCGATGTCATTAGTAGTGGAACCATTTATTCGTAAATAATAATATATTCTATCAAGTTTTCGATGTGTGATTGCATTCTTCATATCATTCTCTTCTACATATAATCCAAGCTGTTAACACTTGGAATTAATCAGGGGATACTGGATATAGTGGATGGATCTTCTCAGTATATTATGAGACAGGTGGACCAAGACAGCATATAGCTCTCATCTCATGCATATATACTTTTTGGTAAAGTGGGAAATCTAATCTTTGATTGCATAAAGAAAGATGAATGTGTGTGTGTGGTCCTCCCTTATCAAAAACAGCCTCCTCGTGATTCCTTGAGTCTCATGATTACCATTTTGTAGCTTATACTTGTTCTTACATGTTTCAGTCACACAGACCCCTTATCTTATTAGTGGGTAACCTTAATCAACAATCTAAACCATATAAATTTTAGGGATCGTTTGAAAAGTGTTTTTAATTGATTGAAAGCACTCTTAGTAAAAAAGTATTTTTGGGTCTTGAAATGCTTCCAGCAAGAAGCACAAATTATGTGCTTCTCGTAGAAACCAAGATTAATTTGCAGTTTTACTGATGATTGGTTTCAACAACATTTTCTCCAAAAACACATTCCATCATTTAAATGTATTTCCAAAACAAGCCATTAAACCATAAAAGTGGTTTTGCTTTATGTATTATTTTTCTAATAAAAATAAGAAATAATTAAGCAAGATTAACTCTTCGTTAATAATCGAATGCGAGGTGTCTACCCGTAGTATGCGTTTTTTTCCTTTATGTTTCTGTTGGCTGGGAACTAAAGTAGAACATAATGCACATTATTATTTTAATTTTTATACTAGTAATAACAATAAAGCTGGTTATAATTATTAGAAACTTTAAGCTAAATCAAGCCAAGAACATTGTTTATGATAAGTAGCAGATGCCCGCACACACTGTGTGGGAACAATTTTAATTTTTTTTTTAATTATGAAGTGGGATTAATTTTTAAAATTCTAAAAAAAAAATAATTATGAAATTGGGATAATGATGAGTAGTTTCTTCTAACATGGGAATATTTTTAATTTTAATTTTATTTTATTTTTAATTTTTAAATAGGGCATGTTATACTAACCTGGTTATGAGGTTGCGGTAAAAACAGTAAAATTTATGTTCATGTAATTACTAAATTGCCTATATTTTTTTACTTGAGTTCAGTTTTAGTGAGGGGATTAAAATGGTAATTTTCTTAAGTTTTGGTTGACAACCAGAGTTTTATTAATAGGTAGTTTAAATTAATTTTGGGATAAAAGAAATTCAAGTTCAATGATTCGTCATATGATTATATGTAAACCTCAGGGAGTAAAAAATCCATAAGAGTCTATACGTAAGAAGCACCATGATCAGACATGCTGTTCCATTTTCATATCCGCCAATCATTAAAGTTCCGAACGTTGTTGACTTGTCACATTTGATTTTAACAGCATATATTATCCACTTAGTATATTAACCATGCCATGGACCTAGGAAGAATAATATAAATGCATTAGTTAGTGTTTTGGGAAATAACTAATTAGCTTTTTAGTTAAAAAGTAACATCAAAGTTGAGTCCCTCATCTTAATTCCTAAAGTAGGAATGTGCCAATGATTTTATTCAGATGGATAAACCAATCCAGCCTCAGTCAAACATCGTGTTTGAAGATTCCTTGATTGGAGTTCTTAACAACATCCGAGTTTATGGTTTTATTAAGATGAAGAACACCTCCAATGTCAATCATGCGGAGAAAAAACATTTTTGGATAAATCTGTTATCTATCTCATATGAAAGAATGAAACATCATTTTTTTTTTTTTCACCCTAATTGAAAAATTGGCCAAAATTATAATGAAATGGTCGATTTGCACTTCAACCTTTTGGATATTGTTCCATCTTCTCTTCGAACTTTTCATTTTGTTTTAAGCCCCCAAAAATTTCAATTTCATGTCAACCTGCCTTCAACTATCAATTTTGTCATGTGCAATGCATACGACCAACTTTAGGAGCATATATGTCAACATGCTATATTTACTAGGAAAGTTAGTAAATAATAGAAATTTTGATAATTTTTCTAAGAAAAATTTAGGAGGAATTGAAACTAACACAGATCTATAGTAAATTTAGAGGCCTCTTATTTCATATGAAATAGACCAAAATAATCCTCAATTTAGCATAGTAATTGACAAAATGAACAATTGAGGAGACATTGACAAAAGTTGAAAATTTAGGGTTCAAAACTAAATGGAAAGTAATATAAAAGAGGAGGCCAAAAAAGTTCTCTCCTCTAGTGAGAGCTTTTTTCTCCTTTTGTGAGAGTTTTTCTCACCGTCCATGTGAGTGGTCTTCACTTTTGTCAATTTGTGTCGTCGCTGTCCCTATTCTCCGGTCCAACTTCACCTTCGCTCTACACTCCACCACCATAACCCTATCCACTTCGTCCCCCTCATCGATGACACTGAGCGCCACCGCGATTACCGCAAGTGGGAGTAGCATAATTTCAATCATGCCTTCAACGCCTTCTCTTCTTCCAACAACCCGAGTCTTAGCCCCCGTCGCCAATTCATGGACGCAGAAACTCTTTCCAAATTGCATCAATTCTCTATAATCTTCGAACCAAATTTGAAAAGGAAAATTTTAAGAAAGAATCACTAAATTTATCTTAGGGTGCAGAAATTTGGATTGGAAGGTGGATGTTTGGATTGTGAGAGAATAAGAGGTAGGTAGGTTAGGGTTTTTTATTTAGGCATGTCTGTTGGATTTACCCACCAAATGAAGAAGACGACTTCTTTAATTTTTTATTTATAATTTTTATTTCTTACTAGTATCATTTTTAGTTTTAAATATAAAAATAGTTTTTAAAGTTAATCCACATGTCATTATATGATTGTATTAGTGCCCACGTGGTACCACGTCATCGCACTAACAAAGCAATTGACAAATTTTTCACAGAAATACTAAAATGATTCATGATAGACAAATTCAGGGACAATACTGATTTTTAATGTTAAGGATCAGATTACGAAGTTATATCAATGTCACAAACCATTTGGGCTAAAAAGCCTTTAATTTATTTGATTATTAAATTTGAGGATATTTGTGTTTATTTAAGTGAAATTTTGAATATATTTAGGAGTTTTTTTTTAAATTGACAGTTTTGAAATGAAAGGTTAATTTTTGACTATATTTGATAAATACTCCTTTTTAAAATGTGCCACAAAGTCTCAATTTTTTCATATTACACATCATATAATGAAGTTGCATCAATTTATGCTTTTAAAATATCTCCAATCATGCTCTATATTTTATAGCAAAGTTTTAGCTAAAACTATCAAAATGATATTTTAGGAGCTCTCTAGAAAAAGTTGTATACTCCCTACTTTAGAGAGTTATAATGAATATGAGTCAATAATTAGTCAATAAGAATTAATTATCTATTTAAAAAAATATATTAAAACAGTTACCATTAGTTATAGAGAGCCATGTGGAGCTCTTTTCTCCCTATTTATATTTAGGAGCTTATAGATGAATCCTTATCTTAAGAGGTGGGTAGAGAGCATGATTAGAGTCGATTTATTTATTTGTTTATGAATCCTCTTTAAATTATAGTTTGAGGCTCCGTATGAGGAGCCCATTAGTTGCTAAAAAAGGAAGCCCATTAGAGATCTCTTTAATCCTTCATAAGATTAATACATACTCACCTAAAACAAAGTTTAATGATATACTAAACATAAAACTCGTATATGGATCAACGTGTAAACCATATTAAAAGGGTAGTTTTCACTTACTATCCTTAAGTTTCACCAAAATCACACTTTACTACACGTACTTTTTTTTATCTCACTTTCATACCTTAAGTTTGACTTTTCTGCCGCTTTTATATTTATGTTAGCCTAGCTGTTAACTTTTCTATTAATTGATGATGTGACAGGATTTTGGCCCACTAATCGCCACTTTATTACTCTCAAGTATAGTGAAATTCTTAATTTGCAATCCTTAATTTTTTTTCGTTTTACTTTTATAACTAAAGTCACGTTTTGCTCCCAGCTTAATATTACCATTAGCCAACATGTTTTCCAAGGCCAAAGTAAGACGAATTGGAATACGTATACCTCAGAAGTTCGGTCATAGACTCAACAATTCTGATTAGACTAAGTTGGTTCAAACAGACCAGTAGTGCTACCATATCCTGCTTTGATGGGGAAAGGTAGGTGAAGTCTGCCGACTTTCAGAGATTGACAATTCTTGTTCCACTAGTTATAGAAATATGATCCTATTGGGTATTAGATAAGCTTCCTATATTCTTGGAGATTTCTACAATTTAGGGATTAGCATGCGTTGCAAGTATTCACACTCTTAAGAGGACACAATATCTAATCCTAGATCTCATCTTGGATTCTCCTGGTTTAGTATGGATTCCATATTCTAATAGATCTTTCTCTCGACTAGTATAAATACCCTCATCTAGGGTTCATCTATGGTAACACAATTATCGCATACTACTTAATCTCTTATCCACCGTCTGAGTCTAATGTATTGCTTACTAACTTGACCGTCAAAGAGCCTTTTAGGCAGTACTCCACCGGTACCCAAGGTTACCCATGATTGCTTGTCCTTTTACAAGTAGTTAGATTTGCTTAGCTTATCTGTCTACTATGGTGAGCAAATTTAGTTCCAACACCTGGCATCAAGGGCTCCATTAAATTGGCATGTAACTCTTGATTGGACAATGACTTTGCAAAGATGTGGCACCGTGGACCAAGCGCCACATCGTGCTTTGACTAGATAATGACTATGCAAAAACGTATTATTGTGAGTCCCGCGAGTTGTACAAGATGGTTCAAGTGAAGATTTTGAAATAAGTTTCTGTCAAATTAAAATGTAAGAGCAACATATGCTGCCTCGTGGACAAAACCAAATTCTAGCAAAAAAAAAAAAGTTAGTATTTTTATCTTTTGCCAAAAACAAGTTTCAATTGTTTCATATGTTCACATGGGGCCACACCAGTGTTCTAAAAATTGGCCTAGGCGGTGAAGGCCCGCAACAATTTAGTGCAAATCGTTTCGAAAAATCGGTCTAGAGCTAGGCAGGTCCTAGGCGGCCCGTAGGCAGTTTGATTTATTTTATTTTTATTATTTGTGTGCTTTTTTCTTTTTTAGTTTCATGGTGGTATACTTATGGAAATGGTGTACCTAATTTGCAAAGGATGTATTGACTACAAGTTCATCCAATTGTGAAATGAATTGGAGCACTTTTGAGGGGATCCATACAAAGAAAGGAAATAAACTAGAAACAATAAGGTTAAATAATTTAGTCTATGTCCAATCTAATACAAGGATCACGAACAAGAAGAATTTAGTCTATTATCCACGAATACTCATCATTATAATTATATGCTTACTGTTTTTTTTAAATGTTGAACTTGTTGGGTGGATGTACTTTGTGTATTCTTCTACTTCTATTTTTGCATCTTTTACATAAATCCACCTAGGCCGCCTAGGCGCTGGGCCCCTGCCTTCCGCCTGACTACCGTCTAGCGTTTTTTAGAACCTTGGGCCACATTGTCACGTTTCTGCACAGTCATTATTTAGTCAAGCGTCACGTCATGTTTTAATGGAGTTCCTGACACCTAGGCTATAGAAAGTATGAATCTGGGAACAAATGTAACTTTTGTTATAAAAGTGAGAAAAAAAAAACTAAGGGCAACAAAATGAAAATTTCATGATATTTAGGAGTAATAAAGTGAGAATTAGTAGGCCAAAATTTTGCCACGTCATTAGCTAACATAAAGTTAATGGCTAGGCTAATAGAAGTATCAAAGTGGTGCTAAAGTGAGATTTTGGCAAAACTTACGATAGTAAAATGAGAATTAACTTTAAATTAATGATTGTGTCTCTTTTTTTAAGTTTTTATGTTCGATCGATTCATAAATAGTACTTTCTGGTCTGCATGATTTGGCCCATTAGCGTACCTCACTAGTTCCATCTAATGCATTGGGCTTAGAGATTGTTATTTCTCAGTATTTTATTTTTTAAAATTTTGATGGGCTTAATTTTCTCTCTTACCATGTTCCCTTGTTCCCGTCAAAGTTCCAGACGGTGAGTTCAAATCATCTCCGCTGGTAATCCATTGATAATGCTCAGAATTTAACAAAGACTGTAACTTTCGATCGATCAAACCATGGCGAACGTCTCGGTTGCCGCGGAGTGGCAGCTCCTCTACAACCGCTACTACCGTAAGCCCGAAATCTACCGAATGAGCTGGAAGCACGTAGAGCTCAACCGCAACAAGGTCGCCTGCGCACCCTTTGGCGGCCCCATCGCCGTCATCCGAGACGATTCCAAGATCGTCCAACTCGGCGGCGAATCGGCCCAGCGGAAGCTCCGCATCTTCAGTTCCGCTGGCCATCTCCTCGGCGAGACAATCTGGAAACACCCGGGCGGCCGATTAATCGGCATGGCCTGGACCGACGACCAGAACCTAGTCTGCCTCGTCCAAGATGGCACCGTTTTCCGCTACACCATACATGCGGAGCTCGTCGAGCCAAGTATCTCCATGGGGAAAGAGTGCTTCGAGCGAAACGTCGTGGACTGCGTTTTCTGGGGAAACGGCGTCGTTTGCATCACCGAGACGAATCAGCTGTTCTGCATTTCCGATTTCAAGAACCCGAACCCGATTAAGCTTGCCGACCCGGCGATCGAGGACCCGCCTCTCTGTATGGCGGTGATCGAGCCGCAGTACACGATGTCGGGAAACGTGGAGGTTCTGCTCGGTATCGGAGATGCTTGCGTTTTGGCTGTGGAGGAAGACGGGGTTCAGCAGCTAGGGCTGGAGGTGCTCCGCGGGCCGATTCAGAAGATGGCGGTTTCGAGAGATGGGCAGTGGCTTGCTTCCTTCACGCACGACGGTCGTTTGTTGGTGATGACTTCGAATTTGAACGATATTCTCATTGAGCAGGAATGTGAGGTCAGATTTTTCCGGCTTTTTTCTGCTTCTATCTGCAATTTTGTTATTCAATTTGTATAAATTTGATGTCTTTCGTTACAATTTGTTTATGTTTCTCAGTAAAAATTGCTTCTTTGATTTCGTGTTTATTATGGCATTGTTGCAGATTGTAATGTGTGTATTTGTATTGTGTGACGCAGTCGGCTCTTCCTCCGGAACAGCTATCTTGGTGTGGAATGGACACTGTGCTTCTTTATTGGGATGATATGCTTTTGATGATGGGTCCTAGAGGTGATCCAGTACGCTATTTTTATGATGAACCGATAATTCTTATTCCCGAGTGTGATGGAGTGAGGATATTATCTAACTCGAGCATGGAGTTTCTACAACGGGTGCCTGACTCCACTGAATCCATCTTCAAGATTGGAAGTACATCGCCTGCAGCTTTGTTGTATGATGCTTTGGACCATTTCGACAGACGAAGTGCCAAGGTAGGTCACTCTTATGTTGTTTTGTAATCAAACAGAAATAGATATTCCCCACTAATCAAAACAAAGTGCTAACTGCAAGCACCCTTTGGGCAATCTATAGATAATCCTTGCTGCTTTGAAACCAAGGTCAACGCCCCAGCTTTGTGTATCAGCAAAATTCACGATTTAAATGACAAAGTTAAATAGAAACGAATAAATATTTAGTCTTTTTCTCTTCATGGTTCCTGATTTCCTTAATCAAGCAAGTCAATTCTCTTAATTAAAGATACAAGTAAGCATGCTCTAAACTTACAAGTGTATTAATTCTATTAAATTTGCAACTCAACCTTACATACATTCCTAGCTTGTAATCACCCAGTAGAAGACTAAGAACATGGTTATTGAGTTGCACAACAGAGTGCTATTTCTCCTAAAAAGCAAACCTATGTCTTTCCCTCCAAAATGTTCACCAAACTACATGATTGATGGTCTTGGGGAAAAGGATGATTGATAAATGCCTTGTGCATAGTGCTACAGTTAAGTAGCGGTAAAGTTTTAATTTCATGTTTCACCAGGCAGATGAGAATTTGCGACTAATACGCCCATCCTTGACGGAGGCCGTTGAAGCATGTATTGATGCTGCTGGTCATGAATTTGATGTTCTACGCCAACGAACGCTCCTAAGAGCTGCAAGCTATGGCCAAGCCTTTTGCAGGTTTGTTTGGCTCAATATTAACGTAAAATTTGAACTTACCAGAAGTTATTAGTTGTATTAGTTGTTACCAAAAGAAGGTAACATTTTCCTTTATCAATTGTCTTAACTCTTTTGCCCTGTCTTTGCTGATATTTTGATTAGTTTTCCATTTCTAATAAAGTTGAGCTCTTGCTAATAAATTTTTTGTTGTGGATATTGTGTTGCATCGTTATCTGGTCATATAGAACCTCAAACCTAGTTACAATAACTGAAAGGGACTTTTGCTACCATTTTGTATTTATGTGAATGCATAGAGTTTGGGAGATCCAACCTTTCCGTACGATATGAATGCAGACTGGAGAGACAGTAGGGTTATTTTGAGGCTTTGTTGAGTTTATGTTGTCCATTTGGCACAACAAAATTTCTATAATCTTCTTTTCTCCATTATTCAGTCTCACTGGATGTCCCCGTAGAGTTGTAAACCGTTACTTAAATTTGACATGTATCTTGATGCAGTATTTGTAATTCCTTTTGATTATCCATATCCTCCTTCAATCATACAAACTGCGTAGTTCATAGTTTCCAATTCCATGGTCTTGAAAGAGCATTCTTTCTGATTTCTACTCTCGGTAATGATATCCAGTTGGCTTTGGCAGCAATTTTCAACGTGATCATATTCAAGAGATGTGTAAAACTTTGCGGGTATTAAATGCTGTTCGGCATCCTGACGTTGGAATGCCTCTAAGTATTCAACAATACAAGGTTTCAAAGCTGATTGATCTCATTTTTTCAATTTGCTGACTATGCATGCTGTTTTCTTTACATAATACTGAATAAAGTTATTGCTTTCAGTTACTTACACCAGCAGTTCTGATCAGTCGTTTGATCAATGCCTACAAACACTTTCTGGCACTACGGATATCAGAGTACCTTGGAATGAACCAAGTAAGTCTATTTGTTTTCAGTGTTTACTTCACTGGGTATTTGTTTTGCTCATTTCCTATTGGGTTCTTTGCGATTATCCTTTGATCTATAAATCGGAATGTGATGTCACACTTTGACTAAATTTAAAAGCAAGGATGCAATTGAGGCGGGAAAAATGTTTTGGAATGTCATATTAAAATGGATTATGTATGCTTGTTTTAGATTGAGTACTAGCTTACTTCTAAAGCTCAATATAGTTTCTGTTTTCTATTTGGAAACTAGAATTAGTCCACTTTTACATGAACTTATCTCCTCTTATTGGCTTTGTGTAGGAGATGGTGATTATGCACTGGGCATGTTCCAAAATAACAGCGTCCTTAGCAATTTCTGATACCAATCTCCTTGATATTTTGCTTGATAAGGTTGATTTTTTATCTTCATTTGTTACTGTGTTGTGTTTTCTCATTCTATTTTGTGCAAACAAACCATCTTATTGAATTTTATTTTATATTTTCAGTTGAAACTATGCAAAGGAATATCCTATGCAGCAGTTGCTGCTCATGCAGATAAGAATGGCCGCCGGAAGCTAGCTGCCATGCTTGTTGAACATGAACCACGCTCCTCCAAACAGGTTATTAATAAATAAATAAAACTATCTTTTTTGTCGTGTTTTTATTTTTCCTATTATGTAAAGTGACAGATGCATTATATTAATTCTGATTCTTTGACTCCAGGTTCCTCTATTGTTGAGCATAGGAGAAGAAGATACAGCTTTAATGAAAGCAATTGAAAGTGGTGATACAGACCTTGTTTATCTTGTTCTCTTTCATATCTGGCAAAAGGTAAGACATCTAGAGAACTCAACATTTATTCCAGTGTCTGTTACAAGTTTACACAGTGGAACAAGTTATATTATTCATCTAACAAACAAAAAATCTCTACTGGATGCAGCGACAACCATTGGAGTTCTTTGGAATGATACAAGCTAGAGCTCTGGCACGCGATTTGTTTATAATTTATGCACGGTAGGTGAGGCGCACTAGTCTAAATATTTTCATTACATTGCCATTCAAATAATGGTTTTCTACGTACTCTAGAATGATGAATATGAGGAGTAACGGGGAGATATGATAATGAAAACAAAACGATGTTTGCTTTAACTATGGTCAAAATTTAAGCTTCTGTTTCAGGTGCATGTGTACATGTACACGTGATATGTATATTGCATACATAACAAGCTCTTTCTGGTCTGTATCAGGTGCTACAAGCATGAATTCTTGAAGGACTTTTTTCTATCAACAGGACAACTTCAAGTAGGTTCCGGTTTTGCTTTTGTTTTACATGTATAGATCACATACGTAACACGTGTTTAGACTATAGACATACATTTTCTTAGAGGAGAACAAAAGACATGCATAAAAGCTATATCATACACACTAAATACATGCTTATATTGATATTTACGAACATAATTTGGTCGCATATGATGGCATTATATATAGACATTGAAATTGGTAGGTTTGAAAAAAATTTTAAAATGTGGAGAGGGGTGCAACATAAAAGCAAGTCTGTCTTTTCTGTGGTGTTTTAACTTACAGAAAAGTATCTTATTTAAAACCTTCAAGGGATTTCACGGGGGAACTCGTATTCTTATTTTCTAGAAAACCGCAATTCCATGATCGAGTTGCCACCATGTGAAAGTGTTCGTAATCAGTTGTTTAATTCTGATGTGCCACTGCATGAATATCAATATCTCTTATGGATAATTCACAGTCAATATAAAATTCATATCTTGTAGGAGGTGGCTTTCCTTCTGTGGAAAGAATCTTGGGAGATCGGAAAAAATCCAATGGCAAGCAGAGGATCTCCCCTTCATGGTCCACGCATAAAACTAATTGAGAAGGCCCATAATCTTTTCGTAGAAACTAAGGAATATACCTTTGAGTCGAAGGCTGCTGAAGAACATGCAAAACTTATAAGGTTAGATTTGAGTTTTTTAGTTACCTGCACTATTTATTGCGTGAACTATGAATTCTGGGCATGCCATTCATTCCATTAACTAGGCTTCAAGAAATGGCATGCTAATGTAGTTTACAGGAGTGTATTGTAATAGATTATTCCAACTACCTATTAACCACAGATTAATGTTTGAAATTATTATATATGCAATATGTTTTCCTTTTTCTCTATTAGTAACGATAGATTGCTTTAGTTCTACATTTGTTTTGCTGTTTTAAATCCACATTTTTTTCCTGAAAATATTTATTTCTTCAGGATGCAGCATGAGTTAGAAGTCTCAACAAAGCAGGCCATTTTTGTTGACTCGAGTATCAGTGATACAATTAGAACTTGTATTGTTCTGGGAAATCATCGAGCTGCAATGAAAGTGAAAACAGAATTCAAGGTTTGTGACGGAAGCTCAGTTCTCCTTCGTAGCCTTTCTTCCCTTGTCCCTCATTTCCTTTTTTTTAACAAAATAGGAACTTGGTACTATTCTCATGGGAGATGCAAAACAAAGTAGTTGGCGTCTTGTGTGATTAACATAATCTTGTATTTGGCGTTTCACATCCGCAGCAATATAGTCCTTGATGGCAATGTTTTGATCTTGTCTCAGGTTTCTGAGAAGAGATGGTATTGGCTAAAAGTTTTTGCTTTGGCTACAATCAGAGATTGGGATGCCTTGGAGAAGTTCTCAAAGGAAAAGAGACCGCCAATTGGTAAGGCGTTCATTTAAGTATGGAAGTGCGGGAAGGAAAATAAAATGCAACATTTAGAATGTACCTTTGTTTTTCTTTTCCTCTCTTTTCAGGGACATTCCATGGCAAGGTGGCAACCATGCTAAGTCTACCTCTGTTCTTTTGTTTGTATTATAGGTTACAGGCCATTTGTGGAGGCGTGTGTTGATGCAGATGAGAAAGGAGAGGCTTTGAAATATATCCCAAAACTCACAGATCCTCGGGAAAGAGCGGAGGTAACAGAAACCTTAGTCTTGCTATTTAGCAATCGCTCAAATCTTCTTGTCATCTCTTTAACTAAGCCCACATTTATTATCTATACAGTCTTATGCTCGGATTGGCATGGCCAAGGAAGCTGCTGATGCTGCCTCTCAGGCGAAAGATGGTGAATTGCTTGGTCGACTCAAAATGACCTTCTCACAAAATGCTGCTGCTTCATCAATTTTTGATACTCTTAGGGACCGATTTGTGTCATAGTTTATCTGCCTCCTTCCTCTCCCTTTATTTTTAATTTATTCTTGTCGATCGTGTGTATTGTGTGCATATTCTTGACATTGTACATGACATGATGAATGTGTAAAGGCAGATGAGTTTCGTTTTCATGCATGATGTATTGTAAACATTTGTGAATTGTGGCCATCAGTTTGTGTGTCATGGGAGCCTAGTTTACTTTGTAACAAACGTGATTCCATGGATTTTGGTCATTTTTACTGATATTGCCCGTCCTTTTTTCGGTAATATCGCATTACCTAGGGTGCTTTAAACCTCTCCTTCCATTTTGACACTATATGCTGTACTCGAGCTTTTGTATTCCATGATTGGTTTCGGCTTACCCATAACTTTTTATATTTTCTGATCGAAAGGAAAATGGTTATGGTCGAATCATTCCTATTAGCAGAGGTAAATCTTCGACCTTATTACATTGGGTTTTCAGAGTCTCAGATTGACAATACTTGGAAGTAAATGATTGCATACATTGATAATCGATAGTCCGAAGTTCATTACAACGGTATCCATCAAGGCAAACAACTCAGAAAACAAGCTTGAAGGAATGTAACACGATACTTGTGCTAATGACGAAAGCAAAAACTTCGAGGAAGAAGCTCAGCCCTGAACCCTGACCAGAAATGTATCTTGTTTCTCAGTCACCTTGAAGGAGGCATAAGCTGCATTCTCATATTTGCCGTCCCACCTGCAATTGAGTAAAATAAAAGCGTACTCAGGATTCTTTCTTTTCCGTTCAACTCCCGTTTAGCCACAATATTGTTCAGATACAATACATACGAAGCCGCATTTACCTGTTTGCTTTCCCTTCTTTAATCTCGAGCTCCAAATCTTCTGCGAACGGCTGAAAGACCAGGTCGACCTTCTCATCACCCACATTGTCAAGAGACAGCGGGTTCCACTACAATCAACAACAATACGCATTAGATTTTCATGTCTTTAGAGATGACCATGTAATCTTTAGATGATTTGATCTTTAAGTCATAGCAGAAAGAATTGGAAAACGTTTACGGAAATAGAGGGATTACCTTGGGAGCATTATCCTTGTCAATGGTGAGAGCTCTAATACCCTCTATCAAAACCGATGATTAGTAAACTTTGAAAGAGGGAGCGTATTGGAGCGAAATTTCTTACGGAAAGAAATACCTCCACAGATTTGTTGACCGTAATCCTCACGTTCGCTGAATCCCTCGTAAGAGGTGTCCCCGAACAATCTTTCTCCGTAGCTTGTCTGGGTGGGGTACCTGCAAGAGATACTCCGACGCTCAAGTCAATTGATTGATTTTCTATTCTCTGGTTTCTCTCGGGGTCTGATTGCGTACCTTGCTCCTTGGCTCCTCTCCATATTTATAGAACTACATGTTTGGCGAACAAGTACCACGACATGTCTTCCTCTCCCTCTTCCTTAGTGATCCTCCGTAGTGGAGGTAGTTATCTAGACACTTTTATCTTCTCTTGTGTCTGTATATTTCTTGTGGGCTTTCCTCATAGTTTATCTTGCACACCATCATCTCTTTGGATGATTGATATTGGCCCATGAGTCAACATTGGATTTTATCCTCCCACAATACCCCATTTTCCCCTTTTTTATGTAAGCAAAATAGGGGAAAACTGAGTTTTTCGATCGCATGAGGCCTTGAAACTATATTCTTTAAGCCAAGCTAAAACTTCAAGCATTTCTTTCTAAAGCCCAATTTGTGGAAGCCACTTTTTCTAAGGCCTAATTTACTATAGCCTTTGCCTAACTCTCGAATGCTCTGACATCTTCGCTAAATTTAGTAACTATCATGTTAGCATAATTTATGGGTGTAAACTGACACCTAAACCATAATTCACAAAAGTTGACTGTCGCGTAACTTGCGATAGTTAGCTGACTCCTTCGTATAATTTACAAACATAACAGCTTAATTTACGAACTTGGAACACCTTCGCATAGTTTACGAACGTGGACTATCTTCGCATGACTTATGAAAGTGGACTGACTCTTTCCGTAACTTTACGAACGTGGACTATCTTCTCATGACTTACGAAAGTGGACTGATTCATGACTTACGAAAATGGACTGACATTTTCCGTAACTTTACGAATGTGGTCTATCTTTACATGACTTACGAAAGTGGACTGACTCTTTCCGTAACTTGCGAATGTCAACTGATTCCTTCGCATAATTTACAAACATCACATCATAAATTACGAACTTGGAGCACCTTCACGTAGTTTACGAATGTGGAACTTATGAACGTGAAACACTTTCACACAATTTACGGACATGGTGGACGGACACATAATTTACGAAAGTGGGTTGACACCTTCGCATGGTTTACAAAAGTTGACTGACACCTTCGCATAACTTACGAAAGTGGACTGACAAAGTTATCTCTGCACACCTAGTTCCTATTCTGTACGTCTAGGGTGCATTTTGTTTAGGTTTATACATAATATATGCACGTGTGTGTGTGTGTGTGGGGATATATAGGTATATATAGGCACACCGATATACTTACACGCAACATATATGTGCATATATCTGCGTACCGACATGCGAATCTCTACACGCACTTTTCATATATTTATATATATCTCTATGCACACACATATATACATATTTATGTGTCATTACCTTGGGTTCAACATGTTTCATAATTTCATGCCTAACTAAATTCTGTTGTCAGGTACGCTTTTCCACCTTTGAACATGTGCTTCGAAACAAGCTCTCTTCTCTTGCTCTTCTTGTCAAATCGTCGTCTCTCATCACCTAGATTGTGACTACACACTGAAATACACATGAGAAAAGAATAATTTTCTTACATGTCTTGTCCTATCCACCATATTGTCTATAGCCCCCATCCCCTTAATTAGAGTTTCATCCATCCTCCATAGGGTTAAAGATTTACGTCCAAACTCCTTATGCACTCATTTCTCTTTTTATAAATTAAGTTTCTCCTTTCCCTGTTTTTTTTTTTTTTCACTTCCTCCGCTTAGTTCTCCACCAAGCTTGTGATTTCTCGTTTCAGAGTGGCCTCTTAGCTTATAGGTAATTGTTCCATTTCGAACTCCTCATGTGGGAATATTTCAAACATTCCATTTACGTTTACGGGTCAAAATTCCTCTTCTTATCTTCTCGAATCAATTTCGGCCGGCAAGTCTCCTATCCCGTTCCTCATGTTGAGACGTACACATTGGTCTAAATAGGATGGTACTCCACCACACTTTGAAATCGTCAAGGCTCGTGACCAATGTCACGTTCCAGATGACGTGCACCTCAGCCCACATCTTGTCGGAGCCGACATGTATTCGGGTTTCGGTATCTCAACCTGGTCTACCGTTTTGTCTCCAGACTACTTAAAGGCCATTAATTTCCCGTTCCACCCCATGATTCATCCCATCTTATTCTTCACAAATACTCACCCTATGCAACTAAACCCGAACTCTTACTTGGTTATGTCGACCTTCCTGGCATTGGGTCTGAAGCTAGGCGTATCCTTAGGTTTTAGAGATTTCCTCTATCTCTTCGATTTGATTACCATTAAGGGTGAAACTAGTTTTTAATTTTAAACCTAGATATCGCAAGAAATTCTTGTCACAGGATCCCTTGAGAGCCAAAGATTGGAAGAACCGCCCTCTTCTGATTTAGAGGAATTGGAAGGCTCCCGAGCTATCTCAACTATCTATCCCTTCTACTTTTGGTCTAAACCTAGTATATAAATTTACTTTTGCTATCAACTTTTCCATAATATGTAAATAGAACTTACCATGAGTTTTTTTCATAGCTTTATTGGATGGTCCAAAACAAATAATCTCCAAAAGACGAAAGTGTTAGCTAAAGAAGTTTGTGACGAGGAAGATATAGAGCTCTAGAGAAGTAGCTGACACTCTTACCTAAATCATCTATCTCCGCAACGTAGACTCTCTCGTACTTGTGACAAACTCCCGAACGAAGGGCTCAAAAAAGGAGACGAAAGAGAAGAAGATGAGGAGACAGGGTAAACGAACACGAATTCTGACTCGAATTATTCTCCTATTATGGCTTCACCACCTTTTAACCTTCCCCCGCCCAGTTGTGTTGCATTGTTTCCTCATGATCTTCTAGTGCCCAGAATTGCAGGCAAGTCGGATAAATATCCTCTGGTGGATAGGCCCAAAAAGTCTACGTTCGTCGAGTATCTTCAGCACAACCCCTAAACCCATGCAATGCTAGTCAGCTCATCCTCCATTCGGCTCAGTTAGTGGCGATAGTTCCAATAATTCATTTTAAGCTTGGAGACTTGAATTCACAAAAAGAGATAGGAGTTTCATCACCCTTGGCGATAATCTATGGGGCAATGCAAGCGCTGTTACTGTGGCGATAGGCTTGACTCATCCTAATGGCGCCGGTCACTTTGAGGCAATGCTCGATGACGATCTTGACTCCTATGAATCTTATTGTCTTATGAAGGTATTATCTCATTCTCTACCTATCTTATCATTTCTGTAAGGTTTAACCTTACAATTGTTTTCAGATGGCTCTACTCCAAAAGGAAAAATCAGATAGACTAGTTGTCAGTTTGGAATCCCTTAGCCTTAATTAGCAGCAGGTTAGAGAGTGCCAAGCTAGACTTCACAGATATGAGGAAAAGATCACAGATTTGAAGGGAGCTCGCAATGCTACGACGTCTGAAGTACGCCACATGAAGGAAGAATTGGCCGAGGTCAAGCAAGCGATGACCACTGAGCGCGAGATGAAAATGCAATAGATATGCAAAGAGATGGCCTCCATCTTCAAATTTGGTTGGGTGTAAAGCTAGCAATGTCTGGATCATTGATTTGTAGATGATCTTGACGTGTACGGTCATCATATGGGGATTGAGCCTGGTGGATATAAGCGGTATGAGGGGATAAATCTTAAGGATCAGAAACTCTTAAACGAACTTGCTTTTTTTGATCTTATCCTAAGCAGCGGGTTTGTTATTAATTCCAGACCCATTTCGGGTTTATGCTTTGGAGGCTTTCAGTCTGGGCCTCGTTTTGGTGCTCAGTAGCTCATGCAATCACGTGATCTGTTCTCATAGCCTAAAACCCCATTTGTGTTTGTATTTACGTCATCGCACTTTTACTTATTATATCTGATTGTGTTTTAGTGATAGGAGCATATTTATGCAACTTAGTTAGCTTGTTTTCTTGCATTTATCTTGTTAGTTCCTAGTTATTTTAGTATTTTAAGCTATTTTTGTGTGTTTGTAGGTCCAAAGGGCTAAAGTAGCAAGAAAGTGCAATTTGGAGCATTATAAAGCAGTTTTGGGCTTGGAATAGATAGCACATGCATGGAGCAAGGTGGATGGATGAAATTGAAGCTCAAGAAGGGCTAGGAATGTGCTAAAGAGTTGAAGAAATTAATTCAAGACTTGAAAGACAAGGAATTAGCAAGAAAGAAGGAAACATGAGTCAAACTTCCTTATTTTGACTTAGTCAATCCTAATCTTTTCTCACTTATGTTCTAGCTACAAAGAGGCTTCCTAAAGATATTAGGACACTTAATTACAAGATTCTAGAAGGTTAATCCCAGTCAAAATAGGTTGCCACATCAAATCTGCAACGAATCCTTCCTTGCCGTGCAAGGAAGTCACATTCCCCATTCTTTCTAGGCTTGCCGCATATCACTTACCCCTTTTCTCTCTTGGATTCTGATTTATTTACCCTTTTTCCTTGAGGATTTGGGGGTCCAAATCTTTCCCAAAATATTTAATTAATGCCATGCTTTTCTCCCTAAAATATATACAATCTGCCGCACAAAGGGGAGGGATTCATTCAGCCATTCATCCCTCACACACACAAACCACACCATTTATCCATCTCACACCATCACCCAATTTCATACATACACACACACCTTGTACCGCAACTTTTCAAGGAGAAAGGAGAAAAGACCCATGGAGCCGTGCTTGCCATTCAAGTTTTGGATTGTTGGAACGTTCTTAGGTGTATTCTATCTTCTGTTTTCAATGTTTAATTTAAGTTTTTTTTGTTTAAGTGCGAACATGAGAAACTGATAGGAGCATATTCATGCGACTTAAATGGCTTGTTCTCGTGCATT